ATATCGATAAATCTCAGATTGTTACAGAAATGTATTGCGACGCAATGGTTTGTTTTTCATTTGGATTAAGTATTTTTGTCTAAACTCAGTCCATGATTTATCTGTTATTAAAATATCCATCCAGAAAACTACAACAAACCTGCATTTCCTTCTCGGTCTGGAAACAACGTTAGTTGAAATTAAGAATCGTTTGTCTCTCGACATTGCGTCATTAAAAAGTCGATATTTCTGCATGGAATTAATTGCAGGCCAAAGAGGTAATTTTCGTGAGGAGCTCCAGGCATACTTCATACAAATCCATTAACTTATTTATAGTGTCAATAATAAAAGTAATTGGATTAACTGCTCTGGTGTGTATTGTCTGTGAAAAATACAGTGCACCCTTCTAATAACGTTCTTATATATACAGAACCACTGTATTGTGCTTTGGTAAATGCTTAATCAGCGAACACTCATGTCTGGTATACCCGCTGTATGATGTCCACCTCAGGTACAGAACACCTATCTGAAGTACACAATGCTTTATATGATAAATTTTCGGTACATATGTTGGATATTGTCTTGTTTGGTAAATATAGAGTAACTGCATTGTGTGTAATACATTCGACAAATACTTTGCGCATTGTCCATAGAATACAAAGCTAAGACACGAGAAATGTGCAGTTTCATGGTAATATTTGGAGGTAGTCTGTTGTATATTCTTTTACAGTGCCGTTACTTGCTGGTATTTTCACTACAGGTTGGGGTAAAATTTCATTTTGATGTTTATCATGACCATAGTTACTATAGACATATCCATAATTTGTCTGCATTTTCCTTTGAAATTTAAAATGTTGCAATGTTTTCAACCTCCAATTGGCACATCTGACTTAAGCAGTGTAATAACGGGGTTACCCTCGCAATATGACATTAACCCCACCGCCCTAGAAAATAATTACATTTCAACCCAGAATGTACCTCTCCTACATAAACTGTATCTGTATGCTTCTGTAAGTAAAATACACCTTTCTTGAATGCGTCTGTGCAATAAATACAGAGTATCGTTAACATACGTATGTCTTCATTTGACCAGATTCCTGTATTTTTGTACAAGAGCCAACTATTTTAATGTAGAAATCACCTTAATTTTACTGAAACATACTGTATTAAATATTATTTGCGACAATTTTTAATTGTTGTTCGCCGGTTGAAATTCATCCGCGACTTAATTTTCGCGAGTGACGAAACATTCTACATATGCATAAATCATGCAAATAAATAATAATAATAATAAAAAAAACGAAACTCGCCGATATTTCTTGCACGCGAATAAATACGAAAATAACAATAATGTACTTATAATTACTTTCTTTATAAATGACTGATACGATAAATTACCAGATTGTCCCTAACAGGTCTGAAACAGTCTAGTAATTTTTCATTCAGAATGTATTCGGCATATATCCAATATTAGAGTACATACAGTTTGTAACTTTGTAGAACTGAGAAGTGCTAACTTTACATTATAACGACTTATATCTTACACAATGTAACTGAAAAAAAAATAGTATTACAATGGGTATATACATTTATTGTCTTGAATATCTGTCATGTTTCTGTTCTTTTTGGATAATCCAAACTTGCAAATCTACAAAAGAGAACGGATACATTAAGTTACCATTTATATTGGTTTGAAATATAGTATCAAATATTAAACAAAAATATTAAAGATTATCGGACAGAGATTAATCTTCTACAACCAAAAAACGTATCGTACATAAAAATTTCTATTTACCATTTTCCTATTGACACCATAATCATTTATGGAAATGTAAACCAATATATAGGCTTTGGTAGCGTTATCTGTCTGTTAAAATCCTTCGACTGAATCACAGACTCAAAGCCCTTATAAATAATATGCATTATACTGAAGGACGTAGACTAGAATTTCATGCTTTCAAATGCATGCCAAACAAAGGACCTGATAGAAGGACAGGACATGCAATAGGCAAAAACACGGTGTATTGTGTTGCCACATTTGTTTAATGAAAAATCTGTATTTGATTGCGGTCTGTTGATTCCGCCTATAGGCTCCGATCGGAGGTGTAAGGTGTCCGCTCCCTGGGCTTTATCGAAAATTATTCATCTGAATAGGATAAATCTGCACTTTTTGATATTGAATGCCATTAATTCGTCGTTTTCAGGAAGTTTGAGGACTCTTGGTCGCCCAAATATTTGAGTTTTGAAACAAAAACAACCGAGTGCTTACACAAAGACGAAATATAATGTTCCAGGGAGCAACCATTAATTAATCAATTTTGTTTTTCCAAATAGATTTTCTTTAAACTAGCAGTTAAAGTGCAGTAATCTCTCTTTCTCTCTCTCTCACTCTCTCCATATGAATAAGTTAATGAATAACATTTTTTTTAATTTTATTTACCGTACAAATAACAAGAGCTATGTATAATTTGAAGATTCAATAATCGTGCTTCTGTTATCAATTGACAGTTTGCTGTTTCAATTTGGTAATTTCTACCCCATGGCAGGACGTCAAGAAAAATGATAAATCCATGAAAACAAAATCCTGATCAAACATAATTAATACTAGTAATGGAATAAGCATATAGAAAAATGAGCTGTTTGTCAGGTGGATTCCCCTGCTATGTATCATAATTTTAGCCATCACTTTTTTTCATTATTAAATGTCATTGACAATCCTTTGTTTCTGAAATGATTATTATGTTATCAAAAACAATTATGTAATGTATGAATGAGAATCAGGCATTACAAATGGAAAGAAAGAGAGATGCAAGGATTCTCACCAAGATCATACTTCACTATTTCTCGGTCACTAAACCTGACTCCGATAGACTTTTTACCCTTCACAGTTAGTTAAGTTTCCAAACAATATTTAAAATCTTGCAAAATGTTACTCAGAAAAGCGATTATTTATTGTTGTTATCAAGTCATTATTGGAAGCACGCGAAGTCAACGTTTCCTTGGAGCGTGATTTAATTTATTTACCTTGATTTATTCTTAAAATGTTCAGACTACACAAACCAATAAATGGTCAGAGATTATATTTTGCCATTAGAGTAGCACACTTAACCGGAAGTTCGTAAACGACTGATGTGACAAAAATCACGCCTTAATTGTTGCCGCTGGGTGACAAATTGCAAGTATCCACGCCACCGCTCAAAAACGAACGATTCTCCTTTTTTACTATGTGTGCTCCTCACAGCAGTTATCCTAGGTCAAGGTTTGTTATGTAATCTATACCAAATATGATTCATAACGCCAGAGTTGATTGTTCCGGATTCCGCGGTTTCGTTCCACGAGTGATTACCTAAGTCAGCTTCTTTGTTGACCGATGAAAATGATTGCTTATATGGCGATCAATCAAGTTCGCAGAGCCTCTAGAAAAATATTCTCTCTTCCACTGCAATCTCGAAATCTCAAATTTCCGTTGCATCAGGATCGTCATCCTGTGAACTGCGGAAGTGACGCAGAAGATGAATCGTTGTCCTGTGACATTATGGCTTCTGCGCGTACCGCAGTCTTCAAGATGCAAATAATTGCGACGGCAGACCCGGAGTAAAGCCTCAGAGCTTCCCTAAGATACAAATCTCAATAATTACACCTCAGTCGGACATCATTTAATGCATGCAAGAAATTATAAAAATGTTAGTATAATGTTAGATACCAAATGAACTCCTAGCATATTAAAACCTTTTAAAGCTACATGTTCATGTATGTTCATCTCAATAAAAAAGATGTACAAATACACACTGAAAAATAAAATTTACAAAAATAAAATTTTAAGTAAAGTTTGCAAGACAAAAAGTTCACAGATCAAGTTGACAACTAAAGCATTTTTTCATTTTAATTATTTTTTCTGATATATAAAATACAGTCCTACAAATGCAATAGATATTAAAAATCCTGCGTACAATGATCTTAATTATTGAACCACACACTCTTCTAATTCTACACTACATGATGATGAATACATATAAATGTGACAAATAGTTTATCATCATCGGACTTAAAATGTTTCCATACATAAAAAGTGGACGATTTTGTGGATCTTTCCCTGTGGTGATTGTATTCAAGATAAAAGTGTTGAACAAATTTAAATCTTCACTACATAAGCATGCTTGCAAACAATTTGAAAATATGTATCCTCCAAATTCTCAAAACAATTGTTAGATTTTCCTCAATATTTATATCCCCTCCAATCCGTGGATAGATCCATTCCTGTCCTTTGCTCTACAAGACGATGTTTCCATATGAGAAAACGATCTGTAACTACGAGGTATCTGAGGAGATAATTTTAAGATATTTCCGATTTCTATGTCTAACGTTGACCTCTGTGGCTGCTACCTGGCCAGTGTGCTTGGTTTAATCCTCATAAGAAAGCTTTCACAAAAGATTTTTTTTATTATACTCGCACTTCCTATAGAAAGTTCGGGAATATTGTTTTTATCCTGGTTCATCCGTCCTTCTGTCACACTATCTTCTTCCTCAAACTCTTCTTACAAATGAAGCTCTGCTCAAAATTCGTATTTGATTTGACTTTTGAGCTTCGCTAATGTTCGTTATCTTCACATTTCTTTACATGGATTCCCCATCATAAAAAGTCCGATTGAGACTGGCGTAGAAGTAAAAAATACATGTATTAAAAATTTACACCTGATGGACGAAAACAGATAGTAAAAGGTCAATAGAGTATCTAAAGTGAACTTAAAAAGCTTTTTTCACAAATCTGCTATCGTGACAAAATAGTATTTTTTAAAGAAACACTGTGAACTGTACTTGGTATTTTTGGCGACGAATGGGATTACTTTTACATATATGTTTAGTGCTACGTTGTTTGAACACAATTAAAGGATGTAATGAAATGAACTTACCGTAAAAAAATATAAATACTCTTTATTTCTAAACAAAATCAATTTTGTATTTTGAATAACCATCAAAGACAAATGAAGCTACTTTTGATAGCATAATCTTTATTTTTTTAGCAAGGACAACAGAATCACCATTTGATATCATAGGGGGACCTATTTTTCTGACAGAGCCACCTTCATCTCTGCCCTTTGCCAACACCAAAGGTGCGTCCGTCCAGTGTACAGCCCACGGTAGACCTGCTCCTACTCTCGATTGGGTAAAGGACGATGATACTCCAGTGGAAGATGTACCCGGGATCCTTCAAATTTTACCAAACAACACATTGTTTTTCCATCCCTTTCAGCGGAATGACTTTCGAAATGACGTACATGCTTCTTCGTACAAGTGCATTGCATACAACAGCGGAGGAAGAATATCTAGTCGGAGCATGCGTGTCAAAGCTGGTATGAAATTAAACGCTGAATTCAAGAACCAATCAAAACATTTGTTCATCTGTAAAATCATTGCAATATATTTTACATAAGAGAAAAAATTGTTCCCTACAATTTTATGTATATAAATTTTAAAGTATCGATTTAATTATTTTAATATTTTTACAAAGCAGACGTTCCCTTCTAAGGTAAACTAAAACATCAAGGTTAATTATTTCATATTCATGACAATAGCTCATACATTTAATATCCTCCATTGTTGAAAAAAAAATCATGCTTAACCTTTAAAAACACGAAAATGGCATTACCTGTTTGAAACATCGTGTTCTCAGCAGGAACTAAAATGAATTATTCAGCTGAGTATGAATATTCTACAATCTTCTGTTTGGTTTATGTTCGACAATACCGAACACTCAGTTCTGGAATTGAGGATACAGTGTCTCATGTACTTGCATCCAATTAAAAAAAAAAAAACTCAATCATGTGAAAATAACATCTTTTATTTCATCACACCATTAGTACATTACGTTTTTTTTTAAGTTTTAAAGTATCATCAATCCGCGACTGTAAATCGCGATTACCCGTTTTTTCACGAGATCCTCGGAGTTGTTGAGATAAATTGCGTTGCCTTTCTGCCTTTTAATCGCGCTGTTTTATTACACTTCTCACTTCTTGGAACAGATCGCGGATCTTAATGGAATTTCCTGATTACAGAGACGAGGCCGATAAAATGTTCCAGTTTGAGTTTAACGTTTTAACCACCTTAATTCTTTCCTTTTTCGTAACTTAAAAGTTCAAACGTATGTATTGTAGGCCATGATTAGAGTTCGAATATCAAACTGCCTTACCTTTTTACGAAATCCCTTCAATGTACATAAAGTTTAAGGGAAATGTTGTCTGAAAAACAGGATTTTTGAAATATATATTTTATCTTAAAATTAATCATTTGCTTCCAGGGCTAATCTTCCTTTTTTGACGCAAAACGTTTTAATTTTTTTATCATTCTATATTAACTCTAGAAACGTTATTGAAAAAAAAATGCTGCTTTAAGAATCCACATTTGTTCACCAAGTAAAGACATATAAACACGGTGACTCCAGATTACAATAACTGATCTATAAGTCAGTCCGTAACATCCCCCATTGCGTAATAATCTAGATTTTGTTACTGTGCATCTGTCTGATAACCGATAGTTCAATGACTTCATCTCGCGAGATAAATCTCATCTTTTTACATCTAGATAGCAAATATTGAGTACAATATGTTCAAAAATAACAAATTTAATACAATGTCATGATTTAATGTTATTTCAATTTTTTAATGAACTGTGATCTCATTTTGCATACGATTTACTCCCGAGAATAACACAAGGACAAAGTCTTCACAAAAGTTTATCGCCGTGAATTAAGTGTGGTTTTGTGTGGCTTTTAACAATACTAGTAATCGATGAGTGTATATATAACAAGCATAGAAAATCAAAGATTACAGAGCTCACCTCAACGAATGTTATCTTAAAGTAAAGCAAAGTCCCACATTAAACTAATAATCTAGTAGTGTGCATCCCTTGATGCAACATTTATGCAATTTTGGTCCAATAGGGTTTGCAGTTACTTAGGAATGGACTTAATCTTAAACCCTTAAACTAGTCACTGATCATCCAGAAAATGTAAATCAAATCCCGCATCCAAAGTAAGTGTGAGAGTGTTCATCCCTTGATGCATCATCCATGCAAATTCGGTCTAGGTAGGGCTTGAAGTTACACTGGAATGAGTTTGATCCAAAAACCTTTAAGAAGATCACTCATCTGGAAAATGTAGGTCAAATCCAGCACCTAAACAACTCTGGTAGTGTGTATGCCTTGATGCATCATCCATGCAAGTGTGGTTCAGGTAGGCTTAATACTTTCTTGGTAATGCACCTGCTCCAAAAACTTTAACCTAGTCAATCACCTGGAAAATGTAGGTCAAATCCCACATCAATAATAATTGTATAATAAATGATCTTCAATGCAAAGTTTGTAAGCATAGGGCTTATAGAACCTGGTCCAAAAACTTTACCCTGGTCACTTATCTGGAAAATGTAGGCCAAATCCTGCTTCCGAAGAAAGTCCAGTAGTGTGCATCCTTAGAAAAAAATCTGGAAAATATAGGTCAAATCCAGCATCCGAAGAAAGTCCAATAGGTTGTCTCCTTAGATGTATCATCCATGCAGATTTGGTTTGCCTCCTTAGATGTATCATCCATGCAAATTTTGTCAACATAGGGATAATAGTTACTTGGAAATGGACCTGCTCCAAAAACTTTGACTTGGTTACTCATCCGAAAAATGTAGGTCAGATCCAGAATCTGAAGCAACCCTAGTAGTATGCATCCCTAGATGTATCATCCATGCAAGTTTAGTCAATATAATGTTCATGCTATAGTCACTTTAAAATGAGACCTGCTCCAAAAACTTTAATCTGATCAAAGCATTAAACTAGCGGGTCATTCTTTACCTGAAATTGTAGCATCTGATACCTTGTCTGGTACAATGAAACATACTAGAAGCATCGTTCATGCATCTCTGATTAATACAGGGCATAGAATATGCTCCAAAAACTTTAACCTGGGACGCCGACACCGACGATATTACATAAGCCCCCCCCCCCCCCCCCAACTGCGTTGAGGTGAGAAAAAATGGCTTTAAAAGTACCTATGATGGAAAACTGATTTATAATACATATACTTTCCTGTTATTCTATGAATGAAAGATTGTCGTTTCAGTTCTGGTGGAAGACTACCTCACCTATAACTTACAGCTTAGCGATGTTTGGTCAGTGCGGGGAAGTACAGCCGTCTTCAAGTGTAATATCAACCCATTCTTCGTCAAAGATTACATCCACGTGGTTGGTTGGTCAAAGGGAACAAAATCTATACAAGCAGGTTAGAATTCTTTCTTTTTCTTTGTTGCTTTTTTTTTGCTTAAAAGCTTTTAGGTGCAAAGAATTATATCACACACATATGAATGCACTTTACTTGCTACATCTCATTTTCGCGAATCGCTGATTCAAAATGTATTTGCAAATCATAAATGTTCGATTGAGCCTTGTTTTATGAGACACTTTTTTAAGACTTGGAGTCTGATTAAATTATAAGATGAAATGACTATCGCAAATGATTTAATGATACATGAATTAACCTGACAAATAACGAAAATGGTACAAAACATAATACCAGTTCATAACAATTGTAATAATTCTACTACTTACCTTTTGGGCGGAGGTATAATTCAGGTCCAGTTATTGTGATCTAAAACCACTCAGCGATGAACGAAAGGCTCGTATCTTAGGTAAGTTAGGGTAGGGCAGGAAAATGAAAGACGATCAAAAGCACAATTTACAGTCTCAGAATAAATCATCATATTACAATAACTAGTTCTACTTCTACAAGTTGTGGCGTTCGGTGGGTACAGTACTGCATTTTTATTCCTTGGTTCCAACATGATCCCACTGGCTTGATAGTTACATGGGATAATTTATTCACCAAGTACGACAGATCCATCCTATCAATAGAAAAGCGATGTGATCATACTTGTAGTAGGTGAAAATCTTTCTTAAATATGAAAATAAGTACTGGGTCAGTAACTTGCTAACATTTTAGGTTCTTTATGTGTATTTATCTTTACAGGGGATCGAGTGAGTATACTGTCAGATGGAGAACTACACATCAGAGATATAAGGGATGAAGACAGATACACTACATATAAATGTGTGGCGCGAAACATCCTGACGGGCGACGAAAAGTTCAGCAAGATGGCTTATCTACATGTACACGGTATGATATATCTTACGAAAGCATAAAGCTTGTGTTCATTTTTACTTTAGAAGGTACATGAATGCCAAAGATGACAATTAACACATCGATTAATGTTTAATGGCCAGATTTTTGTAATTTTTTTTAAAAATTGCATTGATGTGAAAATCAGATTTAATAATATTTTAATTAGAACAGATATATTTAAAGAAGAAAAAAAAAAACATTCTCAACTCCCAATATCTTTTTGTATCAGAACCTCCCGCTGGCTGGACACCTCCAAAGATTGATGACGTCATGACACACGTGACAGTTAACGAAGGGGAGACAGTGGAACTGCCATGTGTTGCCAGTAGCAATCCTCTTCCAAAATATCGATGGAGTCTTCATAACAAGGAACTGGTAATTGACAGCGTGAACAAAATTCAGAGAGCTGGAAACCTCGTGATTGTTGACGCCAAGGTCACAGACAGTGGTACTTACACATGTAACTCTTCTAATAGTCACGGATCAGCTACCGGAACTACAGAACTTACAGTGCAATGTAAGCTTGATTCATTAAATGATTTTTTTTTCAAATTCCATTGGTATATTGAGACAGATGTAACTGTATGCTTTGTATAATTAAATTCAAACATGCCATGCACACAATTCAGCAAAAGTTTGATAATTCGTAATGATTATGCGACATAATTTTGCACTCTGGATTTTTTCTTGTGAAATATTATGCATTTTTGTAGAATGCTGCAGGGACTTTCCTGGATTGGTTTTTGTTCCTGTTACCGGACCCCTTTTTCAAACTTTTAATCTTTTTTCTTACCAATCAAGTGTCCTTTTAATTTTGCAATATGGACATACATTGTACTCATAGATAATTTTGAACAGCTTGTTAATGCTGGATTCTTTTATAAGTTCAATTATTTAAAAAATGTATACCTTTCAGATCCTCTCTCTGCAACCATAGACCCTCAGCAGCAAAAGGTCGATTCTAACCAGTCAGCTGTCTTCAACTGCACAGTTCTGGGTCATCCAATCAAATCAGTTTTCTGGTTGAAAGATGGCTTCAAAATAATGCCCAATCAAAAATTTTCAATCAAAGACCAATCCGTGCTGACAATTCACAGTGTTAACAAGAAGGACCAGGGGATGTACCAGTGTGTTGTAAAGAATGAAGAAACTAGTAGTCAGGGAACGGCACAGCTCTTACTTGGAGGTACATCTGAAACATTTATATACATGTATGTCACTGCATTCAAGCAGTTCAACTGAGTTGTACAGTCATTTATGTTGTCGTTGTTTTTAACTTGTGTACTTTTGTCCATGTTTGAGAATTTAAAAAAAAAACATTTAAAATTAAGCAATATAATACCTGGGTTAAAAAAAAATAATTTTTGAAACCAGATCATGAGATTGCATTGAAACTCTGGCATACATGGAACATTGAAATTAAATTTCAAATTAAAACGCACTGAAACATCATCTCTAACTAATTTTCAATCGGTTTAACACTTTTCCCAATGCATTTGACCATACATTTGAGATAACTAGTGAATTACAAATGTACATTGTAAGGAGGTTCTATATAGTTTTTCTACTCATCAAAATGGGATCTCACATTATACTTCTTTGTTAAAAGTCCTGTTTTTTTCCTAGAATAAACACTTACAATTTAATATAGCAAAGGCATCTGTTGTTTTACTACACAAAAAGTGTTCAGAGCATTTCCTTTTTTTATTTGCTCGTGTTTAAAAAATATGTAAAAGTTACAATGTATATAACGTTTCCGGACGCAAATTATCACCATTTTGTCGAGGATTTACAATAGTTATTTGGAAAACACCAATGATTGTAATCTTAACTTTTAAAATACACAAGTATAAAATAAAAATATATTCACCAAGATTTGCAATAATCCGTACTTACCAAAATATTCTATTGCAGCTGCTCATCCTACTTTTGTGGAAACGTTCGTGGATCAGTACGTACAAACGGGTCAGAAAACCGCTATCCGCTGTATAGCGACCGGAAACCCTACTCCAGAAATCACGTGGAAACTAGATGGTGAACACCTTAAAGAAAACTCCGACATCAAAATCGGGAGCTTCCTCAATCCTGCCGGTGACGTTGTTAGTTATGTCAACATTTCAAGTGTTCATCTGCAATATGGCGGCGAGTACCAATGCGTCTCATCCAATGAGGTTGGAACGATTCATCACGTGGGTCAAATGTTTGTGTACGGTAGGTTTTCAAAAGTTCACTTTCTTGCATTGCAATATTCATGTATACCAAACTATTGGCACATAAAAAATCAAAAGAGGCATCTTTTGATTTCACTTTCAAATTCTTTTATTGTTTTTCATATTTCTCAAGAAATTTGTTTTAAGTTATACTTACTGAAAATTAGATAAAATCTGTAAAGGCCTAAACAGCAAGAAGAAAATCATCATATAATATATTGACACAGAGACAACAAGTCGTTTTTATGATTTTTTTAATTTCTAAAAGAATTACAAGATTTGATCTGCTAATTTACTTCGACCAACAAGAATTAGTAGCACATTAGCAAAGGGTATATCTAAATTTGTGTATCTTGTAAATGGTAATTAGTAAATATTTGTAACTATCCCTTATATCTATGTAAACATATCAGCGCAAAAACCTGAATATTTGCAACTTAGCTGACATCGAGGCTCTGTTTCCATTTTCAGTTAAAAGATTTGCATTTTATCTAGTAAAAAAACAGGAATGATTCTTTAATACAAATTACACTGGGTTGAATGTTTAGGAAATGATGATAATATTCAAAAGAGTTGAGAAAAGGCAGAATCCTTGGTATATAATATTTATACGCAGTACAAATTACTGTATTTTTGCAACATACCTGCATGTTTTAAAATATCTTCATCAGACAAACTTGTTCCGTCTTAGGTGTACCATTTGTGAGACAAATGCAGAACGTCACTGCTACAGCTGGAAAGAACTTGTCCATACGATGCTACGTTGCCGGATATCCGGTGTCTTATGTCACATGGTCAAAAGGTGAGCATATTTTAGGAAAGTCCAATGCATCATAGGTTGGAAATAAAGAATAATTTGAATAACAGATTTGTTTCTATCTGTTAAATTGTCTCAGTTCAGTTGAGGTGACACTAACTCTCCCCCCCCCCTTTTTTTTTAATGTTTCCTTACAATTATATTTTTTCGGACAGGGAAGAATGCTAATATCTAGCATTGCCAAATAATCAAGTATCAAGAAGGTGGTAAAAAATGAACTAAAACATTGCTTTAAAATATAGATGGAGTTAAAAGCATTTAGAAGGGAGATACATGTATAATTCTTCATCAAATGGCATTGGGTGTATTTTCTCATAGAACGGTCGAAGATTTTGCACAAAATCCAAATATACGTTTTCTTAAATTAAGAAAATTGTAAAATCAGGTTATCAGCAACTGACTGATGACTTGCCCGATAGCTATTTTACATGTACATGTAGCTCCTGTTCAGTCTATGGGCTCGTCACATTCTGTTTTCTTACTGTTTACATTCACCAAAAAAAATCGCCTAAACCATTCTCTTCAAAACCATGCAATTGTACACTATATACAGTTGTAGTTGCAATTTTGGTATATTGCATATAATTATATATCTAGGGAAAGGGGTGGAAGTGAGATACGTAACGGCACTCTGTTGCCGTCAATCTATTACATGTACGAGTTCGAAAAGAACCTCTTTGCTTAACTAAGGAATAATTTCCTTAGTATATAATAGGAATATATATAAGGATAATAAGGAATGCCCCTACCTTGGTATATAATAATAATAACCCCCTACCTTAGTATATAATAGGAATATATATAAGGATAATAAGGAATGCCCCTACCTTGGGTTGAAATCAAGAAGTATATCAATAATAAATGGAAGACAATATGTTTCCTTAACTAAATAGACTAGTACCAGAGACAGGTCGGCTCTATTCGGGCCACTATCCCCAGCACTATAGCTAATGTTGGTCACATTAGACGACCACTCAGGAAACTAATAAGGCGAGCAAACAACCACAGCAGCTTCAGCTATATTCGGGCCACTGAATTGATTGTCTACTTACCTCTTCTTAGCATTCCTCCTAAAATGATCAGTTCACGTCATCGCATCCCGGGTTTTTATACGTAAAGGGTATTCTAATATTATAAGGGGTGTCAGGTCATACCATGTTATCATAATTAAATACCCCCCCCCCTTTTTTTATCTGTAGGTCCGAGGGGTAGGGCAGTCAGATCGTATGCAATCTTAAAATATGTTCTTTTACTCTAATCAAAATTAAATCTGTAATCCACTCATGTATTACAAATGCATATTTTAAATAATATTTATAATAAAAACAAGTAATGTAAAAGGTTTACAATTTTAAAAAAAGAAAAGAAAAAAAAAGAAGAAGAATTAATGCGCGCAACATTTTTTTTTTAAAATAGAGCAACACTCAAATTTAAGAGACCATTATTTAAATCATGAATTTGCTGCATTAAAGTCATTTATGGTGTATTTTTTATAAGTTCAGTCTAACTAAAATTAAAATGATCTTTCTATTAGTTTTATCAGTTTATATAAAGATAGGACTTTCCTGAAAATCACACAATTTAAATCAATCACGTTTCAAAGATATTAGAAATTTAAAGCAATAACCGATTTATTTACCGACTCCGCATTTAAATAACAGACACAGTTTAAAGTCAATTTAACTATGGAAACAGGAGGTTATTCAAGTTCAAAATCGGTGAAAATTTTAATTTGAACGTAAATAACATATATCATGTTTATCTACACTCAGTCTCGTATTTTTATTTTTTAGCTCAGATACGCCATATATAGCTACTATCATCACTGTTATTTGAATTATACCTCCCTTCAATTGAATTACTGCGCGCTTTGAACAACATTCAGAAGATTGATTAATGCTATCAACTTTATAATAATCCGCCCAGTAATTCAGAATTTTCAAAATTTATCCTAAAATTGTTGCACACATGAAATAAACTGATGATATCTTCAGATAATTTTAAAAGATATCTTCAATAATATTATTTGAGTTTAACTTTATAAGTGTTAATTTGGCGCTTCATATGTAGGCCCTTATAAAGCATGATTATGACGTCATCTTCGCCTGCCAAGGAGAGTAGAGGATCAAAAACTCTTGGCTATATAGCGAAGATGTTAGAACGTGTTTTATTTAAATATATTTGTATGTGTGTGTATTTTCTACTGGGTGGGAGGTTAGTACAAATTTTGGTATAATGTAAAACGGATACAAACACGACAATGGCCATTGACTGAAAAAAGAGGGTCAAATCGATTGACTAACGTCGAATCCGGAAAGCTAAACGATGTCGGTTTCTTGTATTATGTGGGATTTCTGACTTCTGGTGCGGGAATCTGGATTTTTCAAAGTTTCGAGTTAATTTAAAGTAACAATTAACATTTATGAAAATGTTTAGAACTGTGTCTTTGTCAAACATTGAAATTAATTTATGGTATAGACGGAAAAAATCACTTGCCAGAGAAATTTTATTCGCAAGTGACTCTTTGGTGTAACGTTAGGCCTACAGCCGATTCAAAATTTTGAATAGTTCCGAATAGTTGGGGGATTTAAGAGCTAATATTGATTTTGTAAATATTCCTATGGTATGAAGGTCTGACAAATGATTCAGGGCACCTGGGTTGGAATCCCTAGTCCATTGCATTTTTTCTCCTTTCCCATTACATTTAGTGCTTTGCACTGACCAGGATGTGACAGGTGAAAGACCTGCCAGGGAAGAGCCTGGGTTGGTGTCTTTGGGGGCAAAGACCTTTAAGGAGGGAGGAATGTGGTGGTCAGGCAGGTTGGAACACTGGTAGC